TTCGTAAGAGAGAAAAGATGAATACTTTCACCTCTGATAACTATTCTGACTACTTCTGTAATTCTTCAGAATTGGAACTATATTTTGGATACTGGGCAATGTTGTTTGTATGTGTCCATATGAAGAATCATTCTTTTTAGACTGTTTCTGGAAGATGTAGAAAGCAAACAAGTTTATTTTATAACAGTACAATGTGGTTTCCTGCAATGTTAAATGTCAGCTCAAAAACAAACGTTATTTAAAAATATTTCAAATTCAACAGCACCCTCTGGTGGAGGAAGTGAAAAAACAACTCTGATTTCTAGTGTCTTAAATTTCCCCAAAAAGGGGAAGGCCTTCAATGAGATGGATTGACATGGGCTGCAACGATGGGTTCAGGTATAGCAAGGATTGTGAGACTGACACAGGACCGGGCAGTGTTTCGTTCTGTTGTTCATGGGTTCGCTATGAGTCGGAGCTGACTCGATGGTACCTAACAACAACAACAACAAAAATATGGTTTTACTTACTATACACATACACATACTCTTTCTTTTTCTCTCTCACAGAAACTTTTTTATTGCACAGATCCAGGCAGCTTTCAATTTGATTAGAAATTTGTGACAAAAATTTTAAAATATATTTGGTGAAAAGCAAATTGTTGATGCAAAGTGCATGAAATAGTTTATAGATCTTTTAGAATTTTTTGTGTGTCACAGCACAACCCAGATGTGGATTAAATTGATAACACTATAGTAAGACAAAGGAGCTCTGGTAGCATAGTGCCTAAGGCACTTGACTGCTAACCAGAAGGCTGGCGGTTCAAACCCACCAGCCACTCCTCGGAAGGAAGGTTGGGCATTCCTACTTCCGTAGCGATACTGCCTCGGAAACCCAAGGAGGGGTCGCTATGAGTCGGGGCTGACTCGATGGCAAATAACAACAACAACAACATAGTAAGACAAATATTTGAACATACAAAAAATAACAGGGATTAATATAATCAATATCCATGTACTCAACACCTAGATTATGTTAACATTTGCATTTTTGCTTCAGGATTAAAATCAAACCATAACTTGTTATAGCATTGAAGACTAACTATTCTGAATCACTTCATTCTATCACCATGCCATCCCCCAATAAGTAAACCATCATTTTGAAGTTAATGTTTAATCTTCTGTCAGTAAACAATATGTTACAGTATTTTAGGATTTTAAAAATATATACATAGTATCATACAGTATGATCTTTTTACAACACAATGTCTAATATGCTTTTGTTCCTACCATATCTAATTGAAATTTTTGCTGGATATGGAATTCTAGATTGGAGATATATCTATATCTATATCTATATATCTCTCTCTGTATATATTTAGAATATTGATGGCATTTTTTTTCTACTTCTGTTTTCCAATATCGCTATTGAGAAGTCTGAATCCATTCTGATTTCTGATCTTTTTTGTATGATTCAAATTTTTTTTTCTTTTAAAATTTAGAAACCAAATTCATGTCTTTGAATTTTACAAATTACCTTGAAATTTTTCATTAACAATCTCTTCCATTTTGATTCTTCTTCCTTTTTAGAGTCCCTTCAATTAGTTGAATGTTAGATGTTCTGGACTGATCCTCCAATTTTATTATCTTTTTTGTCTTAACTTTCATCTCCTTTTCTTTTTTCCTTACTTCCTTGGGTATTTATAAATTTTACTTTCTAACCAATTGATTTATTTTTCTTTTTCACTCTCATGTTTTTAATTTCCAGGATGATTTTTTTTTTTGTTTTGTGAATGTTTCCTTTTTTACAGTATGCTGTGTTTGCTTTATCTGTTTGAGGATATATTCAGATATGATTCACATACTGTTAAATTCACCTTTTTAAAGTGTACAGTTCAGTAGTTTTTAATATATTCAGAGTTGCAACCATTGTGACTTTGATTTCAGAACATTTTCATTACGATAAAAAGAAACTCAACACCCAATAACAGTTACTTCCTATTCACCCTTACTGTAGCCCCTAGCAACCAATAATCTACTTTCTGTCTCTGTAGGTTTTCCTGTTCTGGACACATCATATAAATGGAGTCATGAAATTGTCTGGCTTCTTTCACTTAGCATGACGTTTTAAAGGTTTCTCCATGTTGTAGCATGTGTTATAGTACTTCATTTCTGTTTATGGCTGGACAGTATTCCATTGTATGCACACACTACATTTTATTTATTCATCAGTTGATGGATATTTGGGTTGCTTTCACTTTTTGGCTGTTATGTATAATACTACTACAAAAATTTGTGTTCAAGTTTTTGTGTAGAAATATGTTTTCAGTTATCTCGGGTATATACTTAGAAGTGGAATTGTTGGGTCATACATTAATTCTGTTTAACATTTTGAGGCACTGCCACACTGTTTTCCAAAGTGGCTGCACCATTTTACATTCCCATTAGCAGAATATGAGGGTTCCAATTTTTCCACATCCTAACCATTACTTGTTATTGATTATCTTTTTGATTATAACCATCCTAGTGGGTGTGAAATAGTATCTCATGATTTTAATTTGCATTTCCCTGATGACTGAGGAGCTCTTGTGGCACTGTGTTTAAAGCATTGGGCTGCTAGTCAGCTGCTCTGTAGGAGAAAGATGAAGCAGTTTGCTTCTGTAAAGATTTACAGCCTTGAAAACCCTATACGGCAGTTCTTCTCTGACCTATAAGATTGCAAAGAGTCAGAATGGACTTGAGGGCAGTGCATTTTTTTTTGGTACATAATGACTAGTGATGTGCTTTTCAGTTTGCTGATTGGTTGGTGACTTACTTGGTTAGTTATGTAAAATCTGTCTTATTTCTCATCTGTGACCATTAAAGTCTCTGCTCAATTTGCAAGTGGTCTGCTAATCTCTGCTTAGACAGAGATTTCCTTAAATGCTTTGAACTAGTAAATCTCCTTGCCTTTGCTGAGGGTTTCTCTGTATGTATTAGGACATATATTCAGTGCACCTGCAGGCAGATTAAAATTTATTTGGTGAAATGCAAATTAATATTGATGCAAAATCCATGAAATATTTTATAGATCTTTTAGAATTTTTTTGTGTGTCACAGCACAATCCAGATGTGGATTAAATTGCTAAAACTATGAACATAAAACAAATATTTGAACATACAAAAAAATTAACAGGGATTAAAATAACCAATACTCATGTACTCACCACCTAGATTATGTAAACATTTGCATTTTTGCTTCAGAATTAAAATAGCTTTCCCTTTCTTTGTGTGCAGAGCCTCAAGGTCAGCCAAAGGTGAGAGACTGGGGCTTTCTCTGATGTCTTTTGTGGGCATTTACTACACTCGCGTGGTTTGATGGTCTTAAAGGTGTTTTCATGTATGAAACAACTCTGTGTGAGTTTAGATTACAAAAGACTGTTCACAGTATTATTTATTTCTAAACCCAGAAACCAAAACCATATCCACTACCATCGAATCGATTTTAACGCACCGCAACCACATACGACAGAGTAGAACTGCTGCTGCACAGGGTTTCTGAGACATATATCTTTACAAAACCAGGCTGCTGCATCTTTCTTCCGCCAAATGGCTGGTGGGTTTGAACAGCTGACCTTTTGGTTAGCAGCTGAATGCTTTAACCACTGTACCACCAGAATTATTTTTATATCCCTAGTGTCTTATAAAGTCTTCTGAGTGCTGTCTGCTGGTTGCTGGCACAGTTGGCACATACTTGCTCTGGTGCCTAGCTTTGTTTCTATCTAAGATAGTTTAATGATTGAATATGTGTAAGTAGGTGAGCTTCTTCTGTATATTATGAAGTTTCTTTTAGTTGAAGAAAATGGTTCTTCAAATTTCATGTGCAGTGAGCTGCAGGATAGTTATCTTATAAATGAAGGGGTATGGAGAGAAGGAAATAAAATTTATTGCTCATCTCTTAACTGTGGTGTGTACTGCTGGGTACTTTCCAAACTAGAATCTTTTATAGAAAATTATATTTGGTGCTTACAACATACTCATCCAGATTCTGATACTTTTTGAGTGGCTCATGATACTCGGAGGCATATTTAAATCTATCTGAGCTCTGGTGGTGTAGTGCTAAGGAATTTGACTGCTAACAAGAAGACTAGTGGTTAAATCCCACCAGCCACTCCTTGGAAGGAAGATTGGGCAATTTACTTCCGTAGTGATACCGCCTTGGAAACCTAAGGAGGAGGGCTTGCTGTGAGTAAGAGCTGACTAGACGGGAGTGAGTTTGGTTTTGGTATGGTGTGTTATGTCCATGAATTGGATTTGGCAGGCGCGAGAAAGTTGGGGAAGATGACTTTTGTCAACGACCTGGGATAAAAATGAGTAATCTAGATTAGTTACTGTGAAAAATATATGTTAATTTTAAATTTTCCATAAAATCCAGCTTTGATTTCTGAGTTTAGACAAAAAAGGAGATAGAAAGAATTCAGTAGAAGATTCCTGAACTTTTTGTTTGTTTGTTTTTCTAGTAGTGCAGCAAAGATTTGAAAACATTTTGAGAAGTCAAGAGGAAATGAAACACAGCCATCTAGTGGGTACAGTTTTAAACATCTCTCCAGGGTTATTACTAGGCAGCCAAGCTACTCATTCCTTATCACACAAAGCAGCAGTATGCATCTGTATGCATTTGTATTAGACATTTTCACATTTTAATGAAGGGAAAACCGTTATATATGTTATATATATATATACTCGTGATGTAAAATAAATGTCCTCAGGAGCCAGTATAGTATGCTATACATCTTTTCAATTGTAATGTATGTTAATCAGATTTTTAAATGGTAAAACTCTTATAGTGTTTTTTTTTTTTTTAAACACTATTATTTATTCTGAAACGTTGCTAGAGAATTTTTTGGTTTATGTCTTTGTAACCACCTTGCTTATATAAATTATTAAATTACAGATTTAGCTATTCACTGTCTTCTGTAGGACAATGTTTAGTTGTTACAGCTTATATAAATTTTACTAATGCAAAAATAAATTATTTTCCAGGAGCAAGATGATGTTGTACAAAATATGCACAATAAAGTTGAAAAATTAGAAGGAGAACACATGGAGTGCTCTGACCTTTTACGGCGACAAACCAGTGAACTTGAATTTAGTGCTCAACGAGAAGAACATCTTAGGAAAGAATTCGAGGTGCATTTTTTCCATCCCTTTAATAACATAAATATGCTATTCAGTCAGTGATTTAAGGCCAGCCAGAGAAAGTTTCATTCTGAAGCAAAAATGTAAAAGTGATTTTTAGGAGTATTTATTCTTGTGAATATTTGACTTCTTTGAATACTTCTGAATTTGAATAAATTATTTTTTTTTCTCTCTCTTTTTATTAAATTGTGATTTGGGTGAAGATTTATAGAGCAAATTCACTTTCCATACAGCAGTTCACATATAGTTTGTCTCAAGACATTGACCACAGTTTACCACAATGCAACAGCTCCCCTCCCACTTCCTCCCCATAGTTACCTCTTCCCTGTGTCCATCCCTCCATGGACTCCTGCCCCCTGAGCTGTCTCCCTGTGCATAAGCAGCTGTTCTTTCTTCCATGATTGTTCTTTCCAAGGAGAGTATCTTGAGTAAATTATTTTATATTTTACTTCCTTATTTTTTGAATGTATGCATTTTTAACAATTAATTCTCATGGAATATTTAGGAACTTTGAGAGTAATTTTTTACATTATAAGGTTGAGACAGCAGCTCAGGAAAATATTTGGTGATCATAGGTCATAAGTGACAAAAGTAATATTAAGTTCTAATTTTATTGTTTGAATCATGTGTACTTTTTACATGGTTTTGTGGACTGCTTTCCAGGTAAGACTGTAGCTATGAAAAGAGCATTAATTTATAAGTGAAAATGTGATTTTTATGAGTTAATGATGCTGATAGTAACCTAAAACTTAACAAACATCTAATTTATTTGTTCATTTTTCTCCTTTTTAAAAATCCTCTTGTGCTTTGTGGAAAAATGAAGTATTTCAATAGATCAAGCAGGTTTTCTCCTAAGCAATTTAAAATGGTTATTAGGTAAATAAACATTTATAAAGAGTGTTCAATGATAAAATGCTAGCAATACTCTCATAAAATTTACTGCTGTCATTTAATGTTGTTTTGGGAATCTTAATTAAAGAAGAGTAATGATGGGGATTTATTTTACCAGAAGTTATATATTATAAAGCTTCAGTAAGGTATCTTTTTATTCTCCTTCTAAGATATTATAAAGCTTCAGTAATGTATCTTTTTATTCTCCTTCTAAGAATTTTATAAATAGCAAAGTATAGTTCTTTGACTAATCTGAGTCTTCATATTTAGACAACTTAAAAAACTTTGCTTTATAGTTAATGAATATGTTTGTATTGAGTGTTTGACCACATAGGGACACGATGAACAATTAAATTTCTAGAGGGCATTTTATGCTAGTTTTACATTCCACTGTGGAGTCATTAACTACCCCTAATTCTAGGAGCTCTGGTAGCATAGTGGCTAAGGCACTTGACTGCTAACCAGAAGGTTGGCAGTTCAAACCCACCAGCCACTCCTCAGAAAGAAGGTTGGGCAATCTACTCCCGTAGTGATACTGCCTTGGAAACTCAAGGAGGGGTCACTATGAGTCAGGTCGACTTGAAGGCACATAACAACAACAACAACAACAACAACAATTCTAGGTACTAAATGTAATTAAGGATCTTTGCTGGAGCAGTAGTTAAAGCATTGAACTGCCAATCAAAAGGTCAGAGGTTCAAACCCACAAGCCACTCCATGGAACAAAGATGAGACAGTCTGCTTCCATAAAGATTTATAGCCTTGGAAACCCTGTGGGGCAGTTCTACTCTGTCTGATAGGGTTGTGAGTCAGAATCGTTTGATGGCAGTGGTTTTTTTTTTTTGAAAGTGTAATTGTCACTGGTACTTTGTTAAAGGATTAATAACGATGAAAAATTTGCTGAGTTTTTAATTGAATACAACATATTATTTTGTGCCAGAAATAGCACACTAAACGACTAATTTAATAGACATGTAGCTTAGTAAATGTTTTAAATTTTAGTGAAGCCTTCTAATAGCTGTATTTCTTGAAAAGGTGATTTCTTTATGTGCTTGGCCAAAGGGATATATATATGTGTGTGTGTGTGTATAAAATTTGATAAGCTATATGCTGTTGTGTAGTTTAATCATTTTAACATGAATCAATGGTCTCTTAGATTAAAAAAAAAAAAAAAGATACTACTCAATCCAATTTTATAAATACAGTACTGGATACCAGAGAACCAAGGGAAAACTGAACTGTAAAAAGAAATATCCATGGCTTTTATAAACCTCTTTACAACTAAGGGAGTTTATTATCATGGGAAATAAGCTTAACTCAATAAGAAAAGAGAAAACAGAAGATGCAAACCTAATTCTGAGAGAACTGAAGAAACTCATGAAGATTACGATGGAGGGAGAACAGTCTTTGCAGATAAATTCCGAATTGCTTCTGTCAGTCATATTCCTTATTACAGTAATATAAAGAATGGTAGAATGTAGCTTTTTGTCTCTAAATGTATGCTAACTCCAGTGAATAAAGAAAAATGTTTCTCACCTTTTATAATTGTCCACAAAGACCACCTCATGTGATTAATCCTTTTATCACCATAATGTGTTTGCAGAAATCATTTTTAAATTCCCATTTGCATTGATTACTATTTATAGAGTAGGTAGTGATGAAATCCTTTGGATTATATGGAGTACTTATAAATATTAATTCAAATTCAATATTTTATGTTTATAATGCATTTTAAAATTTGGAGTTCATTTAAAACTGTGTTAGATCCCAAAGTTTTTGTTGCCAGAAAAAGTAAAGATGATTTTTAAAGAAACTAAATTAATTTATTATTTATTCATTATTTGTGGCCTGTGAATTCTATTCTTGAAATTTCTAATTTTTATTAGCTGTAGTTTCTTTTATTTTACCGGAAAGTAATGAAACCCCCCTTTTTTTAAATTAATCTATTTTTACAATTTGCATGGTATACTTCATTATTTGTTCTTTGCTGAATAAAAAAAATATTACTGTGTTCTCCAGGCTGCTCCTGTAGTTATCTCATTGTGTTTACATGTCTGTTCTGAAGCTGTTAAGGATCTGATTCTTTCTATCATCTGCGATGTCAAAATTGCACAATTCCACCCTCAAAATTGTGCAATTAATTGTAGTCAAGATACTATACACAAAGCACTTAAGATTTATGCACATGGCTATTCTTCCTTTAGTTTTAGAGTAATAACTGAGTTAAGTGGGCCTATTCATAGGTGGGGCAATCCTACTTCCATAGTGATACTGCCTTGGAAACCCAAGGAGGGGTCGCTATGAGTCGGGGCTGACTCGACGGCACATAACAACAACAACAACAACAACAACAACAATTCATTTAAGATAATGTAGAGGATTCTGAAGACCATTAGAAAAAAGTTACAAATAAATTGTAATTCACAGTAGAGAGATTTAGTAGTCTCCTGAAGAAGCAATTTTGTTTTCATCCACAACACAGGCCTTTTCTTGGTTACATACACTGGAAATGCTTATAGACGTGTCAGAACTCCCTTTGGTCTTGGAATAATGGCTAAGAACCCAGCATAACTCCAAGAAAACCAAACTCACTGCCATTGAGTCGATTTTGACTCATAGTGACCCCATTGGGTTTCCAAGGCTATAAATTTTTATGGAAGTAGATCACCCCAACTTCCTCACATGGAGCAGCTGGTGGGTTTGAACCCCTGACCTTCTGGTTAGCAGCCAGATACCTTATCTACTATGCCATCAGAATTCCTTAAGGACCCAGTATGGTATCTGGCATATAATGAGTATTTTTAAAATGTTCCATTCTCCTTTTTATTTAACCTATATAATAAAATTCCGTAGTGATACTGCCTCGGAAACCCAAGGAGGGGTCGCTATGAGTCGGGGCCGACTCGACGGCAAACAACAACAACAACAATATAATAAAATAAACATCAATATGATTATCATGAAAGATGTAAACCTTTTCATTTGTTTTTAATAATCTTTGAAGTGTTTTTATACAGTATCTTTTGCTTAATGACTGAAAATAAAAATGACATGTTTGATTTACTATGAGGATAGATTTCAGTGGATTGGACTTCTCTGACTAGGAGGTCAACTAGTCACTTTTATATAGCACTTCCTGTTTGAGTCAGAAAAGCCCATTAATTTTGACTTTGATTAGAATCTGGAAAGTAAGAGAGCTACTTTAAAATAAAACAAAAACAAACAGACAAAAAACCCAAAAATAAACCTTCGAAAGGAATGCTTTATTCAATTGATTTGATTGAAAATATTATATACTATGTTGTGTAGACCTGTTTTGTTACACATACTATATTGTGGTAATAGTTAACTGAGAAAATATATATATGAAACCTTTGGAAACTGTACAGTATTAGTATCGAGCAATGGGACTTGTATCACCAATCATATTACTATGAGTCCTATAGAAATGACACTTGGCAATATAACCTAACTCACTGCCGTCGAGTCCATTCAACTCATTGCGACCCCTCCTTGAGTTTCCGAGGTGGTATCTCTACGGAAGTACATTGCCCCATCTTCCTTCCGAGGAGTGTCTGGTGGGTTTGAACTGCCAACCTTCTGGTTAGCAGTCAAATGCCTTAGGCACTATGCCACCAGAGTTCCTGCTAGCAATATAAGTGTTTATTTATTTTTTTAAAAGAGCCCACATCATTTGGACTAATTGAAAAATAATGCTTTTCAAATTCTTTGATTAGAACAAGAATGCAAAAAGGACTCATAGATTGCTCTTAGCTATTGTCTTCAACATATGTCTTTGGTTCATTGTGATACTGTAGTGCCTCTGATCTTTAAATAGTTGGAGATTTTGACTTTTGAAGTATCTTTTTGGTAATAAAAATGCCTCAAGATACTCCATTTACTTCTTCCTCTTTCTTTCTTCTCTTCTTCCTCTTCTTCTTCCTCCTCTTCTTCTTCTGTCCTTCCTCAGTGCAGGCGCCCTTTTGCCTCTTTAATAAAATCTCCTGTCGGGTAAAAAAAAAAAAAATACTCCATTTAAGGCCATAAAATGTAGTAACTACTCTTCCCCCTCCCAATATATGAGGAGTAAGTAGTGTAGT